AAAGAAGGAAATAAAAACATTATTTGTGCAAAGCACAGCAAAAAATAATTAAAAACGAAAATAAAATGACAAACTTCTCATCACGAAAGACAAGCTCGAAGAATCTCTTTAATGGGGAAGAAAATAGAAAAAAAAAGAAAAAATAATATGATGGTGGATAAAAAAGTTTTTTGTGTTGCTGCTCTCTGTGTCTTACTCGAATGATGTTATTTTATTTTATTTCATTCTGTGTCTCATAACAATAGAATCATTCGAAACAAACTATCGTCAGACTCCTTTATTCTCTCAACTACTCGAAACGAAGAGTTCTCTGTTCTCAAATTCTGATCACGTTTAAGGTAAAACAAATTTCAGTATTAATAGATGAGAGATGAAACCAACATTATAACAGTAGCTTCCATCCGCATAACGAAAAACTTTTTCTGTGATCTGCAAGATGTCAGTATTTATGTGTGAATAGAATAATATATTTATTTTTTTTTTCCAAAAAACAAGCTTTACTAAAGAATATCCAAAGAAATCGGTAAAAAAGCGCATTTATTAATATATTAGCCATCATATCAGAAACTCATAAAGTATAATTCCAAATAAGACTGTTAAATAAAACAACTACTTGTAAGCTGTAAAAGCAGTCATTGAAAATTTTCAGAAATTAAGATCTGTATACCAAATGTCTTGTTGGAATAATCATATCCACTTAAATATCTATTAATAAACTTTAGTTGACATTATGTCCTACTCACTAATAAGTAAGTAGACAATTATGTAAATATAATGATCTGAATCATTCAAAAGAATAAAGAGAATGATTTACAAAAAGGAGGCAAATTGAATAAACGTTTATGTTTGTTATGAATTTGTACTAATGTAAAATAAACTAATCCTTTTTATGATTACATTATTATGGATTATCATATTTGATTAGATTATTAAAAAACGTTATCTCAAATAGATGTGCTATGCGATTAGCATGCAAATGTATAAAAGAAGATCCATAATATTAACTTGAATTTTGTTGTCGTGCATTACATATAAAAAGTCAAAATTTTTGTCTTAAATCAAAAGCAAAGGAAGTATAATTCACAAATATTCGTAAATAATCAACTTCAGAAATATCAGAAAAGATAGGTCAGGATCAACCTCTCACATATATCTGCAGCAATACAATACAAAACACCTAATCAGTTATTTAACTAATATAGCCTGCTAAAGTTACAAAAGAACATTAGCACTGCATCACATAAGACAAACACCTAAGTTACCTTCTTCCAATCGATTTCCGTAGAAACATTTCATAAAAAAAAATGAATAAGAATGTAAGACATGATATAAAATAAATGGGCTTAAATTATTCAATGAAAAATAATGAAACTTATTTGCCTTTGCGTGTAACAAATGAATCTTCTCTTTGATTTCTTTTCTGTTCAGTACTTTGCTAGTTTCATTCTTCCCAAATCTTTTTTGTTGTTTTCTTTTAATTTATGTGAGTTTTTGGGGGGAAAACAAACAATGCTATACTACTCGAAGTAAGAATTAAATTAATTAATTAAAAAAGTGTCGAGAAATGAACAAGAAACGCAGGAAAAAGTGAACAAGACATTGTTAATAGCGCATGATTCTTATAGCGTGACGTTGTGTAATTATTGTATTGGATGAGGTGAAAATTAGATTTTCGCTAAAAGTAACTTTGGACCTTATCCATAAGTAATCTTGAGGACGGAGTAATAACAAAATAGGAGAGCAAGAGACAAAATTAAATTGGCAAAGTGCATATTATTAAAAGAAAAATTTAAAAAGATAAACATCTATCTCTGCTTTTTGTTTCTTATCGTATTTCTATAACCCAATCAAGATATTTTAGTTCCAAGGTTTTTAATACCTGAAAGTTGTTCTTTTAATGGAGAATAGAAGACCGAAGTTTTTCTTTAAATTTTAATTATTTTTGATCATGCACTGTGAAGGAAACAAAAGGAGGAAATTTTATTCAATTGATAATACCGTAATGAGTATAAAAAAGTTTACATACACATACCTAAAAGGACGTCGGAATATCCTAGTGCATAGTTTGAAGAATGCAAATAAAATAATATCAGAAGCTAGAAAACTTTAAAATTTACTTTTTTGGATCTACCTTAAGTTTATAGTTTAAAATTATAAAAAAGATTTCAGACAAACTTTAAACTTATTTTCAACATCACTTCGATGTCTGCGATATCCTATTTAATTTAATTAAAAAAGAAACATATTACAATGAATTACAAGCGTTCATGTGCTCTTTTGATTTTATGATTCAGAATCATACTTTTCATTTCTTAAAGTTGGTATCAACTAAATGGCGCTTGTTGACATAGTTCCATAAGGAAATATTGTTCATAACTCGACATGCGCAATGGAACGTCGACACTGGAATTGTACATTAGTATTTTGTAATCAATTAGTTTCATATACAGATCCCAACAGTATTTTTTTTTGCTTTTCTTGAAGAAAAGGAAAAGTTCATCATCTACATATAACTATTGCAATGTATATATATAAATTGGAAACATGGGTCTATTCAATTGAATCATGAAAGCATTTATTTTTTTTTTGAAAATTATAAAAATTTATTAAACATTTTTCATTTTAAATGTATTTTTCGTCTTCTTCTTCTATTGATTCTTCGTTCATTTTTAACGCATTTTTGAAAAAAAAAATTTAAAAAAGCGAGCTTGATAATTCACTTTGTTCGTTCGTTCGGCTGGGGGATCTGAGATTTCATTACCCATATATTTTAAAGAGCTCGGGTTTGTTTAAGTAGCTCAGTTTTATCAAGTTATTGGAGTTATACTGTTTGTCTATATAGTAAAATTTGAATTTCAAAAAATCGTTAAATTACAAATTTTTAAATTCCATGATATAATTAATGATCTTACTAATCAAATACTGCAAACATTAAAGATGCAAGAGGAAAAATGTTCATGGAGGGGAGAAAGTAATTTCACGAAGTATATCAACAGTTGACCATGAATTTTATTTATTTTAAATGAAGTTGTGATTGAGAATGATTTATATTCTTTCGTGCAAGTTTCATTTTTTTTGTCTCCTCTTCTTTTCGGATTTTCTTCTTTCCTTCCTACTCTCCACACAATTATTTAAACATACATAACTCTTTGTAACACAGGTGCTGGAGAAAATTGTTGCATTTAAAAACGCAATGTACATTATATTGAGACATGCCATTTGATGCCTTTCATTGTTTTGCTATTATGCAATGCAGCATACATATTTTAATGATAATGTCAAAATAGAAATAAAAGTGTTTACGGCATGAACAGTAAAAAGAAAAAAATCACAAACATTATGAAAAGAAAAAAAATCAGAACCAAACTAAACATGAAGAAGGTAGTAGCAGTCCTTAGTAAACAAATAATCTCTAAAATAAATTAATGATTTCCGCTTCTTTGTTTCGACTTTTTGCTCTTATGTTTTTCTTGATTTTTTTGCTCTTGCGTGCAGAGGATGAATGAATGAAGAGAATGCTTATTTTTATTTCATTAAAACAAGCAAAGAATCTCCAACAATATACAAAACAAAATCAAGAAAAAGAAAAAAGAAACACAAATACAAAAATACAATACAGGGATAAACCACAAATGAAGCTATTGATGAGGAACAAAATGAGATTTTTATTTGCACAATTCTAATCATTTAACTTTTTTTTTTATCTTTCATTAACTTTTATTAAGCATTTCCTTTTTCTACTACGTCTAACGGGGAAATGAAAAATATTTTGTTTTTTTATATTCGAGCTTCTAATAAAAATTATTATTTCCACTTAAGCTTTTCTGATTTCTCGGTTTTGTAAAATTTCCGGAATTTTTTTTTCATAACATTTTGTTAAATCTTTCTTTCTAGAGATAACCATAATAATCAGTAAGCACAGACACAAAGTTTTTAATATTTCATGTTTTATTGAAATCATCATTATCATTATTATTATTATTTTAACGTTACAAGTTTCCTTAATGCTAACAAAATTCTCGTGACAATTCGCATGATGTTAGTAGTTTCCTATCTGCATATTTTATCGACCCAAAAAATTCAAATGATTAACAATTGTTGAAAAGTTTTATTAAAATAAGGTACTAATAAAAGTACGATAATACAGAGCATGATAATACAATCAATTGGGAGGTAGAGAAATATTCCCATGATGATTTGAATTTTATTCAAAAACACATTTACTAAATCGTAAACAGTGCTTAGCAACTACTGAACAACCTAAGATTATTGTACTATCATTAAAGGTAAGTTTTAACCCAAACAGGACCTAGATTATTGGCATCAATTTGTCTACCTGTATTTCAACTGTGTATAGATTTAGATAACTATTTTTATATTCGATAAGTTCTTGTAGGCTTTCGACTTTATTGAATATTTATATAATCCCTTCTGAGAAAATTCAATCTATTGTTATTGAATATTTATCGGTTTTTTTTTTCGGTAGGTCACATTTTCATTTTATTTGATTCATTTTATGTATTAATTGTTTCCTTTATAAAACATCCATGACAATAAAAAAAGATGAGATATCTAGCGAGATTAACTAGCAAATTGCTAGTCTTTCTATTCTACTACTTGCAATTTACAAGTTATTATTAAAACAACTTACTGTTAATAAATTACACTTGTTATTTAATAGCAAATTACTACCAAATTACCATGTAAAATGTTTGATCAAATCTGCTTAAGTTCGAATCCTACGAAAAATCATCAAAAAAAGAATTTTTTGCGTCATAAAAATTTTGTTCTAAATTTGGCATTTGCCATATACTTCTCAAGATCACGCAGAAATCACCTTTATAAGGTCGATCCAAATTTGTATGTGACTTTCAATTAATAATTTATCTTTCTCAGGTTTGCGTGCGAGTCATGGGCGTTCATCAATGTTCGACTTAATTAATACGTTTACAATAATTTACAAAAATAAGAAAAATCAAAAGAACACGTGGAAATCAACGGTTATATTCATTTAATTTTTTTGCCAAAATTTACTAGTAAATTACTAGTTAAATTGTAAGCGAATTGACTAGTCAATTAGCAAGTCAAAATGCGGGTCTTTGGCGAAGATTTGAACTTGGATTTTGACTAGTAAATAGCAAGTAGCAAATGGAAAGTTATCCAGTAAATTACTAGTAAATTTCTGCTAGAGGATGTGTCTTTCAGATCACTTTGAACATCGTTGTTTTTCAGACATGCACGTTTTATACACACACAGCACTGATCTCACAATAAAAATCGCAGTCAATAAAATATGACAGAAACTTTTTTTCCGTTCATTTGTAACTACTGCCAAATGTCGCTGAGGAAACATCATTTAGTACAATAATCCTTCCTCTGTTGTCTAATTATGGCATCCATTTTCAAATTCCGCTCTCGCAATGCTGCATTTTCCTTTTGAAGTACTTCTAAAGTGGCATCCTTTTTCTGTATAGCCTGTTGCACTCGAGAATAAATTCGTTGTATTTCCATTTCATGCTCTTTGTTGATAGTTTGCAATTCTGTTTTGATTTCTTTGTGGGCCTCTTCTTTCAAGTTATCCTTTTCAGCTGTATACTTTTCACATAGCTTTTATCCCGCTCAACATTGAATGAATGTGTGCATGTTGATGAAAACAGAATAAATGTAATGAAAGAAAAAATGAGACATTATAATAATAAATGGAATGAGAATAAAGTAAAATTTATTTGAATGAGGAACATGAATATACGCTGGTATGTATGTTTTGTTCATGTTTTTCTTCAGACAATTATTAAATTTATTTTAAATAAAGATCAAATTAGGAAAAATTGCGTCTAGTTTATTCTTTTCATCACATTTTATATGAATTTGTAAAGTAAAATTTCAGCTCGATTGTAGCAGCAGAAGTGTTTAAAAAATCGCAAGATTTGGAATTTTTTGCAAATAGACCGATATTGGATTGACACAAGTTTTCAAAAATTTGGTTAAAAAATGTAAAACGATTTTATGCAATAAATTGTTATTCATACCTTTGTCAAGTGATTCAATTGAAGTTCCATTTGAGTAACCATTGATTTAAGATTCTGTACATTTGCTTCACTCTCAGCTAGTCGCGTTCGTGCTTCAATATATTTGTCCTTTAATACTTTTTCGGAATTTTCCAATTCTCTAATTTCATGCTCGTATTTTTCTTTCATTCGACTGTCAAATGAAAAATAAATATTGAGTTTCAAACATATAAATTTAATTCTTTTCTCGTTGTTGTTTGCATTCACTCTTGTACAAGGAAAAACAAGGATTGGAGAAAAAAAAAATCATACAGTATAGAAAAATTGTGATGTGATTTGGAAGGAAAATTGAAAAAATTCTTCAATGGCGCGACGAATTGAAAAAAAAACATTTCATTCAAAAAATTAATTTAAGAGTTATAAAGTTCGTCACTACATTTGTCTCGATGACAATGTAGAACAGTTCAAAATAGAAACAGAAGAATAAAAAGCATCTTATTATATTATTGAGTTTTAATTGAGAAGAAACGATATAATAATATGAGGCTACACCACTGGCGTGGCTTTTTGTGTAATTTGATATTAGGAGAATTTTAATTACCATCGTTAATTATTATTATTATTGATTATTAAATCCATTTGCCACAATTAAATGGTGCTTTGCTTAAAAAAGACATTTGAAATTTTAAGGAACTGAAAAGCTTAAATTAATGCTGAACATTAATTCTTTAATGCTGAACATTAATTCTCGATATATTTATTATATATTTTACTTATATTTATCCAGTTCTTAAAGATTGAAAAGTATTATTTGGTAAAGTAAATCAATTTATCAATAAATGAAGCGCTCAAACTTTTCGTGCCTCAATATTAAATTTTGATTGTTTTGAGAAACTCGTTGGTAATGTTAAGTTGATATAAAAGGGGTAAAATTTAACAATACTTAGTTACACTTGTTGACATAAAAAGCAACACTTGTTACACTTGAAGTGATTTTACAAGTTTACACCTGCATGACATCGCTCGATATTAGGCAAAAATTAATCAATTAATTGTTCTTAGCATTCACTACAGTCAATTTTGATGTTAAAAGTTCGGACAGAAGAATTTTCAGAAAAATAACTTTTTTTTTGATCATCATCATAGGATGATTTCATGAGTGAGGAAACAGGGAAAAAAAATTTTCATTGCATATTTGCTTTAAATACATGTTCTTGCTATTATGAATGAGAATCCTGATTTTAAATAAACTCATAGAATTACATTCAACAGAAAAATGAGCGAGGGAAACAAAAGCAAGAGAAGAATAAAAACATAAAAATAATAGGGAGATTATATATAAGTACAATAAATGAGATCATTTTTAAAAGGCAATGACTGATAATATAGGCATATACATGCAAAAATTGAAGTCAAGCCTACCCACCTCATTCCCAATGTACTCACTTTAATTTGCTTTCATAATCTTGCTGATTCTTAGTCGATTCCATATCCATTTTTGAAATAATCGCATCAATTTGTCTATCCCGCTCCAGTCGATATGTTTCGCGTATTGTATTTTCTTTTTCGGATTCACGCAATTTCATTTTATTCTCAAAATCTCGCTTCCATATCTTAAAATCAGTCTCGTATTGCTCCTGAATTTTATTTAACTCCATTTGATGTTTTGACTCCCGTTGTTTGAATTTCTCATCATATGACTCCTTTGCGTCATCCAACAATTCAATTCGTTCATTTATCAATTCATCCTTTTTCATTTCAAATTGATGTTCCTTTTCGCGAATCTCACTATATAAACGTTCCTTCTCGATCTCGAAATCATGAATCATTCTTATACGCTGTTGCTCTGACGATTTTCTCTCATCATCCAATTGCTTCTCGAAACGTTCTTTTATCGCACGACGTTCACGTTCAATTGCCAGTTCACGCTCTTCAGCATAAGACTCACGAATTGCTTTTTCTGACTTTTCATATTTATCTTTTGTCTCTTCAATAGCTTTCATGATGTCAAGTTGATGCTGTCGTTTTATTGCATCAATATCTTGTTTGTGATTCGATGTCATTTTATAAATTTCTATCTCCAATCCTTTTACTGTCAGTTCTTTTATTTTCTTGGTATTATCACGAACCCACTTCTCACGACGAATCTTTTCACCCGCTATCGTTTGTTCCTTAACTTTCTCAATTTCTGTCTTTAATCGATGCTCCCACGCTTGATTTTGACTATCCAAGCGTCTTGTTATTTGTGATACTTTCTCGCATAATGATCCCTTATCTTTAATCAATTGTTCGATGAAGGTTTGATGTCGTGCTACTATTTCCTCGTAATGCTTTTTTTGTTCCTTCAAGCGGTTCTGTCCATTCAACTTTTCCAAGCGTAATGCTTTTGCTTTATCATTTCTAACATTTCCTACATGCTCTTTGCTCAATTGAATTGCATTTGAAAGTTCATTCGCACGCAACGAAAGCTTTACAATGCGACGAGCCAATTGATGATTTGGCAACATAAGAAGATCCGATATTCTATTTAAAGGTAAAACAAAATTTCATGTTTTAAATACAAAATGACTACTAATGAAACAAGGATGATACAAGCAATCGTAAAAGAAAATAGTCGTAAAAATAATTTATAAAAATTAATTTTTTTCCTGTCATAAAAACTCACTTGGGAACATCTTCAATGACATCAGGCTCCATTGCGAACTCAAGTTCTACATTTTCTCGTTCAACGAGGTTATTGCCCTTCATCTCTTTCATTGCTTTGTCACATGTCGAATCAACTTTATCCAAGTATGAGAAAATTTCTCTACGAAGAATGAAAAAAGGAACAAGAAATGTTAAAATGATGGTGGAGATGAGAATAATTAAATTAGATTTAAAAGTTAAACAAGATAAAATGAAAATAGATTCAAGTTTAACAAACGATAAAATTCGTGACACCAAATTGCGTAAAATAAGCATGATGAAACTCACTTGAGCTTGATATTTGCATTCTCTACAGTATCTGTGCACTCTGTTATCGACATTTCATTTTCAGGCGATGCCATTGAGTTTAATATTGTGTTTAACTTAAATTCTACATCAGTTTTAAGTGTCTTAAAGTCTTCTGTATCTTTTCTATCATGATCAATCTCCTTTATAAAGCTGACAATCTCTTGATATGTTGATTCATCTTTGATATTTTCAACTTCTTTATTATTGTCATTAATGTGACACGTTCCAACTCCACTTCCACCGACAATAGTACTAAAATCAAGTTCGGAAAAATTGTCCTCATTTACAGACATCCAACTAACCACTTTTTCAATTTGAAACTCATCTAATGTCGAATCTTGCCTCTGCTGATGTCCATACAATCCAGTCGATGGTGATTTTGGTGGTTTTTTCATTTTATCAGCACTACTCGTTCTATGGTGACCAATTGTTGCATTACTTGATGACTTTCCAATTGTATTCGAGTATTTGGCTGGCTTTGTTAAATCCTTTAAATTTTTAGATTTCTTTGATAGATCATTAATTTTTCGATTATTGGAAACTGAGCTGTTGTAATTTTCATTTGATGATCCAATCTCCTGGTCTTTGGCTTTTAAATATTTTTTAATTACAGGATTCATCGATTGATTTATTTTATTGCTATTATTGTCGATTATGTGCTGTTTATTTCGCAAATTATTCAATTGTGTTGATGTTGTGCTTGTTGTTTTATCTGCCATTCGATGATTAATTGTAGCAACTTCTGTTTTGTAATCGTCTATAATTTGATTCAATTTTAATGATTTCTCGTTATCTTTGCAGTATTGATAATTAAGCTCATCGAGCTCATTATCGGAATTACTTTCAATATAATGTTCTTTTACATATCGTTTTGTATTGGAAAACGAAGTAACTTTATCATTCTCTCGATGGTGTTGTTGTTGGATCTGCTGTTCATCAAATGATTTATTTAATTTTTCAACATTACCACTTGTATGACTTGATTCAGTATCACTATAATCTATCTCATATACATCATTTGTGCTGCACTCGAGCATTTCAATTTTTTTATTTTTATCAGTTTTGTTGGCATGTTGTACAACACAAGAAAGTGAATGTTCGAGAATTTTTAAGGTGTTCAATTATGTGAAAATCCGGAAAAAGAGATGAAAAAGCAATTTTTTCGTTATTAATTCTATTCTTTTGTTTTGCAATCCGAAGGATTATTTTAGATTTCTAAATGTAAATTCATGCTATTATTTTTAATTCATAGTTTAAAAAAAGTAAATGATTTTTCTTTAAAATCCAAAAGTAAAAATTAATTCTTTTTTTTTGAAAATATAATTCTAGAGTCTTAAGTGGAAATTTTTGATTCTCTTTTCGTGAATATATTCTTAGTAAATCTTTTTATTTGCAAATTAGTTTTAGCTTTAAATATTACCTGTTGAATCAAATTTAAATAAATAACATGCGCATAAAATACGATTTGAAGAAACTAAGTGTAGGCAAGAGAAAAAAAAAAATCCTAAGAAGTTTTTTACTCTTAACTTACCTGAATGACACACGTCCTGGCAAATCTAACTTTTTACATTCACCATCACTAACATTTACAACTTTTGAAGCATTTTCGTTAACCCATAAGTCGTAAGACGTCGACTTTTTGCCACTATGATGGCTCTTGTTTCCATCAACTGTCAAGGATTTAGTTTGATTGACGTTGCTATTACTGAAAACAGATTTTCCGAGATCAGTTGAGCTGCCGTATGCGAAGGATAATTTTAATGAATCTGGACGTTGCTTGATGTGAGACGATCTGCAAATTTCAAATGTTTTTGATGTATCATGATGATTTTCATTGTTCTCATTCTCTGCCATTAGGTTATCCTTCATAGTCACAATATTCTCCTCAGTACTTTCACTACAACTCATTGTATCGTTCTCTTTTTGTGAATCCTCATTTAATTTCAGTTCATTGTTACAATTTACCATAAATTTTTCTTTATTTTCTGCTGCTGTCCAATATTTTGACGACATTGAATGCTCATCAATTAACAAGTTGAAAATATTTGACGAAGAATTTGCTTTTCGGTGATTTTTCTGTTTAAGAAAAAGGATGATATTATAAATGGCAATTGTATTTGTCAAGAGTGTGCAGTTATGCGAAAGGAAAAATATGTAATTTAATAAAAAAGTCATTTAGAGTGGGCCAATTGACTTAGTCTTAGAAAAGAGTCAAATATGTGAAATGCATACTCGAGCTTCAATCTTGCTAGCAAAAAGGTGGAAATAAATTTATAAGATGTAACAACAAAAAAATAGCAATATGAAGGGAAAAAAATAGGAATAATAAAATAAACATGGAATTTGCAGATAAGCATAAAGCAACTTACATTTCCAAAATTAAATTTCACACTAGAGTTTCTTTTTAAATTATTAAATTGACTGTCAGCTGACAATGGTCGTCGATTTTGAAACAAAATACTATTGTTACGTGATATTAACCGATTTCGATGGAAACTCAATGAAGCGGAAGCGGGTCGATGTATGTAAACGGGTGGGTAATAAATTGGTGCTGCTTGTATTTTTTCACGCGTTGCTAGGCTAATCTTTGTGACCACAACACAGAATGAAAATAAAAAATAATATTTTTTTTTGCAATAAGGCAACGATTAACCATTTAATAGTGAAACCATTTTATGGAATCAACCTATAATTGACCTTTTAAGTTTGTTTTTACTTACCTGTGACCCTACTAATTCCATAACTCACAAAATATAAATGTTTCTGGATTTTTTTGCGTTATTTTCTCTTTGTGGAAAATTGAGAAAATGGCATGGGTCACTTGTTTATTATTCCTTCATAATCTTTCTTTTATTCTTACTTGGTTGCTAGTTTTTTCTTTTACTTTTTGTCTATAAATGAAATTAAACCTTCTATACCTCGAAACTCACTTAAAAAAATTTATTTTCTTTAATTGTCACATTTTATAAATTAAAATGAAATTCTTACTCTTATACTATGACTGGCTACCGGTAACACAAAAGTACAAATAAACAAGCTACATATAATTCAAAACAAACACTACAAGTGTGCATAGCAACTGTTTTTAAGTTTAAAGTTGAAATGAGAACGGAATGTTTAATGAAACTTTGTATGTCAAATAAGTTTTGGATCCAAGTTTAATTTCTGAATTTTTTATTCTTAAAATTTAATGTACTATTCATTTAAAAATTTTAAAATAAAAGCTCAGAAAAGTTTCCTCAAAACTTCACGAAACATCCAAAAGATGTCACTAAAATACAATATTCATCGTCTTTGTTTCATACTAAATTCATCAATAGAAAAAAACACTGCATTACGGAAAAATATTTCTCAAAGGAAAATATAGAGTAGCAGTTAATGCAATATTTTCAATTGTGCAAGTTAACCTTAGTGACATATAAATTTTTGGACGATGTAAGTGGTATTTTACAATTTAATTCGTAGGCTGTGGAATGTGTTATAAATTTGAATAGAAGAATTTATTGTTAAGTGAAATGAGTCATCAAGCAGCAACTTAATTAATGTTTTTTTTTCTGCTGACTACTACATACTTAATGTTTGATGTTCAATTAAATTATAAAATCTTAAAGCAAACGAATCGGCAATTAAAAATTAATAAAATTGTCTGGTGAATATTAAATGTATTTTGTGATGAAAAGCAAAAATGTAATAATTATAAAAAAAATTTCCACTCATGAAGCATATGTATGGGTTGTTTACAAATCAACTGACCTTGAAGAGAAGCTTTCAACTATAAATCGCATGAAAAAAGAAAAATTAAAAGAGGTTACTTGACGCCAATTTGATATTGATTTGTTCTCATTTCTAGTTGTCCTGCAAACATCCTTTGAGCACTCCTTAGTTGAGAAACAAAGTTGAATAGAAAAAAATTAAACGTAGTAAAAGCAGCAGTTCTCTCACGCAAGAATTCAAAAATAAAACGTAAATGAGTATGAGTATTTATGTATGTGAGACCCGGCACAAAATTCGAGAATAAAGCAACCGAGAATCATATAGTTTTCGATTTTTGAACGGTGAAGGCTTGTATTGTAATTAAATTGTCTTAGCTATTAATCTTGTTATTTCATAGTTTTTTATTTTTAAAAAGTACAATACGATCGCAAGCTCATCATTTAATTATTCCAGTTTCTTTTAATCATTTTACTGTAAGTGCATTCGAGTGAAATTACTTTTTTAAGTTGAAGGTCAGCAGAAATATTTTTAGAATTTTGCGTACTAAAATCAATTGTTAATTTATCCATAATTTAGCAGTCATCATTTACTATACTTTAATTCTCTTTCTGTGTATAAATTTGACAGTGTTGCAAATTTTTTTTAATTATACAGCAAAATTAATTGGTCTTAGTATGAAAATGCTGCGCAGTATGAATCAATGATTTTTGTGAGATTTCCATTTTTATTTTTATTATGTCATAAGCACAAACTCGTGTATGCAAAATTAGAGAGATGAGAGAAAAAGAAACTAGCTTAAAATTTTTTAAAAAAATTGAAATTTTTTTAAGTGCTTAATGCGCATTCACTAGCACATTTGAAAAGATTCTTTGATAATTAATTCTCCGCATTCTTTCTGATGATGCTGATATCATCTTTAATCAGAGGCGCATTAAAGGTTTTAGTAAATGTTTACAAGAAATTCAAGCTAACGCATTCCATTTGAAACATACACAAAAAGCAATAAACATCCTTACTGCCTAAAGTACAAGTAGTATCTTTAAAAACCGTTATTAATAGAGAAGAATCAAATTTGTAATTAATGACCAGTCATTAATACCGATTGTAAAATCAAATGAATATAATACTATTGATCCATTTTTATTTTATTTTTTGCAGAAAAGAACATCCGAATTATAAATTCCTGACCGCATTTGTTCTCCTAAGTTCTCTAATTATACACCAAAAAGTAATTAAAAATGTTCAGTGGATTCACAGGTATTTAAGCAACTTACTTATATAAAGTATATTTAAAAAATTATGTTTCTTTGGAAACTTCGTCATTTCTATTTTAAATGTCTATCAAAAAAAAAATGAAAAATATAAAAACAAGCTGGCACAATTCTTTATGTTTATCTGTCTATGTGGTCGATAAAAAACTATGAAGAGATGAATGATTCAATACAGTGTGAGAGGAAAATATTTATATTAGCTTGTTTCAAAAACAAGAAGACATAAATTGTCATTTGCGAAGTTGGTTCTTACATCATTTGTTTCAAACGTTCAGCTGTTAAAGAAAAGAAGAATAGTGATGTTAGGTTCTCGTTTATGGTAGAAGTGTTTTGAATCTCATTATTATTGGCCGAATATCAGTCGCCTCTGAATTAAAGTATATGAAAATTCAGATCTATAACTTGTCTTTATTTAAAAAATCGTAGATTTTTTGATTCATCGACTAAATTCCTCAACAAGAATAATATTCAATAAATCAAATTGTACATTAGTCATCATATTTATTGTTGACCAAGTAACTTGTCATATTTTTTTCATTCAGTCTATTATGTCAGAGTCGCCTGTAAAAATTAAGTTTCTGCGTTTTTACAAAAGTGTGCTATCTATATGTTGATTAATATACGCACTTAATATTGCCAAGAATTCGAAAAAAAATCAATTTTTTTTGCAAAAATTTCATCAATACTTAGTTATTAATGTTGACTATTCCTTAAATTAATTATCTTCTCATGCCCACAATGGAATTTTTCATGACTTTATGAATTAATAGAAAAATCTTCGTGTAAGTACGGTTGACCTTAAATTGGGTCGTTAAATAATTATCTTCTCTTTTTCCACAATTCACTCATTAACATCAAAATGAAGTTTATCAATAATGTTACATTTTTCATTTTTAAATATTTTAGCTTCATTAAAAAATCTCGGTGATAAGGCATCCAGCCTTTTTGAGAAAAAAAAGAAGGAAGCAGGTGATATTGCATCAGAAAAAGTTGAAAAAGCAAAGAAATTGGCAGAAGAACAAGTTCAGAAGACCTCTGATGCTGTTTCAGGTGCTACTTCTGGTGCATCAAGCCTAATTGCTGGTGTTAAGAAAGAAGCTGCCGATACCAAGGATGATGTTCAAACAAAAGCTGGTATGTTGATGATTTTTAAAGGTTGACGAACTTGTTACAAAATATATTATTTCATACGTACAGACGAAGGTGTGAAAGACATCGAAGATTCAATTGAATCACAAATTATTCAAGCCAATCAGGCAGCTAGTAAGGTCACTAATGATGTCGAAAAAGCTAAAGATGCTGCTGTCGAGGAAACAGTTAAGAAAGTTGATCAGGTCAAGGAAGAATCTGCAGCTCAAGCTGATCTTCTTAAAACAGGTGCAAATGCAGCTATTGATCAAGGCCTTAAATCAGCTGAAACAGCAGTAGATGATCAATTGCGAGCAGTAGAAAAGACCATTGATGAAAAAATAAAAGTTGCCAGCAAAGCTGTAGACGACAAAATTTTAGAAGCAAATAAGTATGCTGATTCAAAGCGACAGGAAATAACACATGTAACTTATTTTTTATTGAAATTTAAAACTTTAGTGTTAATATCTATTGCTTTTATAGAATATCACTGAGAGTCTCAACAAAGTCCAACAGAGTGCAATGGGTGAAGCATCGAACATGCTCGGAAAATTAAACCTAGGTGGAAATAAATAAATTGGATGTTTCACAAAGTGCTTTATTTTTGCAGTTAAAGTTTCACAGAATCTCTAAATCCGCACAGATATTCGCCTATCTATAGAAATAATCACTATTCAATACAAAATACCCAAAATTACAATTAACAACATACTGTTCATCTTAATTCTTAAGTTTTTTTAATCTTATTGTTTTCATATACTCATTTTTTTTTTCTTCAAAAAACTCTGCAGAGATCCATTTTTAAAGGTCTTCGTAAACATTTATTTTTATTTTTTGACGAATATACATGTATGCTTACATTCAAAAGATTTATTTAAAGTCTAAATAAAAACGAGCTTTTAAAAGCTTTAACTAAGTTGTATAATTCTCAATCCTTACTTTTTTTTTATCTTTTTCAGGCATAAATGTCATATGTAATTTTTTTAAACAGCGACATTGTAAATTAATCGTAAAAGGTCAAACATTTATTAAGCACGTAATGTGAAAGTTCTTCCTTAACAATTCTGAGTAAATAAACAGTCAAAATAAATTCAAATTGGGGGTCAATTATTAATAATGTTAACTAGAGAATGTTGAAATTGTTTCAATGAAACAAAAAAGTTGGCTCAAAAAAGCTCTTTTTCGAAAACATCAAATATTTGTCTACCTTATCTACGTAATATCGTTAAAAAAATTTATGATTCCAAAAAATGAATTACGAAAAATTGATCAAAAAGCCACACAATACGAGTGAATATCCCCCAGCATGAAGAGAATATTTACAGAGTTTTCTTTGTAAAATTTAATTTTAAAAGAAAAAGTTAAAAAGAACTAGTCTTACCCATTTTAAAATCTTTTTTAAATCACTAGGTAAAATTTTGCTATTGTCTTAACTCAAATTTACATGCTTAATGCATTTATAAAGTGTATAAAAGAAAATAATTGCTTTACAAAAGATATGAAGAGCTTTAGGAATTTTTCACCAGATCTTGAGGAATCAAGCAGCAGTGATGAGCATCCTGATTTTGCAGATAGACGACGGATATTCCGAAGGTAGCGAAGTTATTTAGAATCACAGTAATCTTTACAGATAAAGAGCACTGATCTTTTGTCTTTGTGATAATCATTCAAAATCTAAGATTTTTTTTTTAAATTTGGGTCATTACATTTTTTTAAGACAAATTAATGCAAAAACAACAACAAATATAACAAAGCTACAAACAGCTCCGTCAACGAGTTTAGCAAAAATGGGTGTCACAGGCAATTCTCAAGATGGTAATAACCACGAACGTATAACATTACTGGTTGATAATACACGATTCATAATTGATCCAAGTGAGTTGAAAGTTTAATGACATTTTTAAAATTATGCACATTACATTCGTTGAACTCTGTTTACAGGTCTTTTAGTTCAACATCCAAATTCTTTGTTAGGACGGATGTTCTCATCTGGAATTGAATGGCAAGTGCCAAACGAGAGAGGTGAATATGAGGTTGCTGAAGGACTATCATCGACTGTATTCCGAGCAATCCTAGACTATTATAAATGTGGATATATTAAATGTCCAAGTGGTGTTTCTGTGCAAGAATTGCGAGAAGCTTGTGATTATTTGATGGTTCCGTTTGATGCACAAACAATAAGATGTCAGAATTTGAGGGGCTTGCTGCATGAACTTTCAAATGAAGGAGCTAGATTACAATTTGAAGCATTTTTAGAAGAGCTCCTTCTTCCTTTAATGGTGAATAGCGCTCAACGAGGAGACCGCGAGTGTCACATAGTTGTATTATTAGAAGATGATTTCGTTGAATGGGATGCTGATTATCCACCAACTACGCAAATGACAGGCGAGGAATATAGTCAGACAGTTGCCAGTAATGGAATGTATAGATTCTTTAAATATATTGAAAATAGAGAAGTCGCTAAATTAGTTTTAAAAGATCGTGGTTTGAAGAAAATTCGATTAGGAATCGAGGGTTGGCCAACATACAAGGAAAAGATCAAAAAAAGGCCGGATGGAAGAGCAGAGGTAATTTACAACTACGTGCAGAGGCCATTCATTCACATGAGTTGGGAAAAGGAAGAAGCAAAAAGTCGTCATGTGGATTTTCAATGTGTCAAATCGAAATCTGTAACAAATTTGGGTAAATTCTAATGAAATTAATTTATAAGTTCTTATTGTATTCATAATTATCAATTTTTAAGCTGAAGCAACTGCAGATCCGCCACCTTTGGAAAATAATATTGAAGTTGTTGAATTATCTCAGAGAAATGAGTTTGACGAAGTTCCCAATAATGAAATTCGAGGAGGTGAAAATTTTGTTGCAGATGACGGAAATAATGTACAGCCTGTCAGTCAAGGTGAATAAAATCTAACCACTCAATGTTTTCAAAATCTCTGAATTTTTCGAATTTTTTAAGTACCAAATTAATAATTTCAAAAAATAAACGAAATGAAAAAAAAGAACAAAACAAATAACTGTATTACTGAAAAGCAAATGATGTTGATTTGTGAATAAATGGCATCAAATTAGCAAGTAGTTGTCTCACAAATAAATCGATGCGGGAAATTTCCATATACACAAACATCCATAGAAACAATTTCTGAATGACGCTTGATAAATTTTCACAGCACAAAAATACGTGCCTTAATGAATGTAAACATCTGCGATATAACTTAACGGTCGAAATATTTTTAAATATTTATTTGACATTTTCCTTTATTATAAATCTTTCACTTGCTATAGTCAGCATTTTTAACAATCCCAAGGCATCTAGAAAGTTAAATATTATTTTTTAAACTGCATTCCAATTTTATCTGCGAAAGTTTTAATTAAGTTTAATTAAATGTCACTTGAAAATCTTTTTTAAGGTAAATCGTAATGTATTGCGTTTTTTTTTCTTTGATAAATTAAAACTGTCAAAATGTCAACCAAATGTCAGCATCGGGTGAATAACAAAAAAATTTCATAATTTTTATTTAAACAATAGATTTTCGTCGGTATTAAAAGTTTGAATATCAATAAAATTAAAGTTAAAAGTGATGATAACTCGAAAAGCTTGAAGAATGCCGTTTATATGATCAATGAGTTGCAAAAACGACTGTAAATTTGTTAAGCAAAAAAAAACTATGAAACAATGGCGGAAAAGTAATGCAAATAATGCTAAATTTATAAGACTTTAAGTGAGAATCTTTCTATAAAAAGTGCTTAAGTGCAACATGGAGCACGAAAAAAATTTAAAAGAGGATTTAACTAAGCTAGTTAATGGAAATAGTATTGAATGTTCTAAGAAACTCACAACCTCACAAACAGGAACAACAACAATAAATTCAACCAAGACATCACAGAATTTATCATCCACAGAGGCATCGACTGTTAATGTTAAGCCTGAAAATATTGAAAATTTGAGAAATTACCGAGATAAACATGGTACAGTTATCACTAATTAAATTTCCTAAGCGTCGTGACTCATACTCGATGTATATTATTACAGATTCTTCAAAGAGCCACAAAAAGAAGAAAAGTAAAGATAGAGACCGCGAAAAGGAGCGTGATAAAGTAAGAGCAACGACTGTTATCAATTCTTATTTTACTAAGACTGTTAATTAATTTTAGGAGTATCGTGATAAAACAACAAAAACACCTAGTAAAGATGAGAAATCCAGCAAGGAAGTGAGAACAAGTAAATATGAAAAAAATGGCAAGGATGATATGTCCAGAACTAAGGAAAAATCAAGCAAAGAGGACAAATCCAGCAATACAGAGATTACATCCCGTAATAAGGATGAAAAGTCCAGCAAAGAAGAGAAACCAAGAAATGACGTGAGGAAAGAAATGAATGGAAATTCAGTTAAAGAAGCACCAGAAATGATAAATAGTAAATCAATTCAGAGTAATAAAAATTCCACTGGTGTTTCAAAAGAACCATCTCAAAATAATTTAAGTACAAAGAAAGATGTAATTAATAATAAAGAACGCTCAAATTTGCATTTCTCGCTATCGTCACGCAAGGGAAAGGACTCAAGTGTGAAAAAGCAAGAAACATTCATCAAGATTGATTACTTGAAACCATCAAAATCGGAGAAAAATCGTGAAGATGTTTCAAGGATCTTAGATTTCTCGAATAACAAACAAGTTAACGGAACAAGTAACAATTTGGAATTAACGAAACAAGAAGCAAATTTAACTAAAATTATTAATAAAACTGAATCAACGACACCAATAAAAGTGGAAAAAGATGTGGTTGATGAACAGTCATCGAAAATATTGATGGAATTACAAGAAAGGAAACCAACATTTGAGACTCCAATAAAAACTGAGAAAGTAGAAATCAAAAAGGAACCTGGAAGTTCAACAAAACATTCTTCGTGCAGCAAATCATCATCAAATCATCACAATAGTAATAATTCACATCATAAGAGTAGATCTTCATCATCTCACAGTAAAGACCATAAAGACAAAGAAAAATCATCTACTTCACATAAAAGCAGCAGTAGAAGTAGCCGAGAATGTTCAAAATGTTATAAACGTTCAAAGATCAAAAGAAGTAATGTCGGAGTACAAGTAAGACCACCACAAGAAAATTCACCAAAGCCACCGACAAGGAAACTTGAATTTGAAGCATCTCATCGTGTAGGAATTAATAGGAATCCAGTTACTATCGATACAAATTTATCGTATTTAAAATATGGACGATTTTATCACGTTGAAGTTCATCCAAATGGCGAAGCATCTCTTGTACATATGTATCAGGATGAATTAAATATATTAAGTATAGAAGATCTCAATGAATTGGTTGATGAATTCTTTAAGCTTGTCTTCAGTGAAGATGAAAATGGATTTGCTTATCATGTTATTGGAATTATTCATGATGCTGCTCGCTATCTACCCGACTTGATCGAACATATGGCTGAAAATTATTCAAATTTGACAGTAAAGGCAGGTGTAATTGGCAAGAATAATGACATTGAGACCTGTACGATGCTTCAATATTATGAGCAAGTAGTAAAAAATTATTCAGAAGGAACTTTCAGATACGGCCCATTGCATCAGATAAGTTTAGTAGGAAAAGTTCATGAGGAAGTTGGAGGCTATTTCCCAGATTTACTTGGCAAACTCGAACTAGATCCTTTCTTAAAAAAATCAATGCCTTGGGGTAAATTATCAACCGTGCAAATGGATCCGAGATTATCAAACGATGGACCGATTTTATGGATTCGTCCAGGTGAGCAATTGATTCCAACTGCTGATTTGAAGACTCCACAGAAACGGCAACGAACTCGGATCAATGAATTGAGAAACTTGCAATATCTACCTAGAGCATCTGAGGCTCGAGAAGTCATGTTTGAAGACCGCACTAAGGCACATGCGGATCATGTTGGAGTGGGCTATGAACGACAAACGACTGCTGCAGTCGGTAAGTGTCATCTTTATTTGACTGACTGTTCATGTTTTATTAAAACTAACATAATTTGTCGCTTCTTCATGTCATTTTCTCATAGGCGTATTAAAGTCTGTTCATTGTGGTCAGCCGTATAAATACAATCGTGTAGCTAAAGATGTTGTTTGTTTTGCTGCTCAATCCTTCCCTATTCTCGTTGAAAAATTGCAACTGGATTTGCATGAACCACCGATCTCACAGTGTGTACAGTGGATAGAGGAAGCTAAATTGAATCAATTAAAGCGTGAGGGTGTCAAATATGCTCGATTTCCGCTTTTCGATAATGACATTTACTTCCTACCAAGAAACATCATTCATCAATTCCGAACGATTTCTGCTGTAACAAGTATAGCATGGCATGTGCGTTTACAGGACTACTATCCCGACCAAGAGGAAGCAGATGAAATGGCTAGCAATTATGATATAGAAACACCGCAATATAAAGAAAAGCAGACATTATTACCGCAGCCATTATCAGAACAGACGCCCACAAAGCGATGTAATGATAGTAAGGCAAAAGCGAAATCAGCAAAAAAAAATAAAATTAAGCGAGAAAAGTCGCCTGGCTATGAAAACGGCGTTGACGCTGAATCGAGTGAAGAATTAAAATCATTATTAAATGATAGTGATGATGGCTGTACACCAAAAAAAAGTAAATTGGATGATGAGAGTTCAGCCGAAAATAAAAAGAAAAAGAAGATGGATGCAGCATTTGAATTGACATATAATTTAAATCGTGACAATGAGATTAAATATACTCCTGCAGCATTAAATCCAATTCTACCCACTCCAAATGAAACTGTAAAATTAACTTTTAAAACATCTAAGAGCGCCTCAAGTGAAATTCCAAAATTAATGGACGATATTCCTATTGTAGCTGAAGAGGTCGAGATAATAGAATCTGTTCAAAGTACAAATTCCTCAGATCAATCGCCAGATTTTCATATTTCGATTCAATCTGCTCCACATTATGCTGAGGCTGAAATTGTAACAGAATCAATTGTTCCTTTTTGCAGTCAAACTGCACCGTGAACACTAAAATACAAACATTTTAATTAATTTAAGGAGAAAAATTTACGGTGAGTTTATACTAATAATCATTGTTCAGTTAAACTAATAAAATATATCTCCTACCTTCTTTTATTTCAGTTCGAATTAAAATCGATTGATTTTGAGCTACAAATAGGAATTATTATGTCTGAATGAATGCATGTTCAACACCGCATGCTCTTTGATCTCAAAATCTATTATATTTTGGCTATAAAAAAAGAACAACCAAGTTTTATCCTTTACGTGATGTATAGGAGGAAATGACTTTTTGAGATGATACAATATATACATTAAATTTTAAGAAGATAGTTTTCTTAAGCTGGAAATGTAGATTTAAAGAAATCAATCAACTAACAATGTTACAGCAATGAAAGTAATCAATAATTATGCCCAGTTGTTCAATAAAGTAGCTCTTCATAATATTTTTATCGTTTATGATCAAATGAAAATTAAATTAAAACATTTTTGGTATTTTGAGTATGTACTTAATTGAGTTTCCACCCGTAAAAAGATGATTGATACAATTTATCCATAGCATCATCCACCAAGAAAGATATGCTCAAAGTTTAAGTTTGCATTAGGCAAAATATTGAGCAGAGAGCAAAGCTTAAACGCCTAGCAATAGATTGTTCAACTTACTTCACAATGAACCTTTAACATGTCAAATTTTTCAAATCACAATACCTGGGTAGTTGTTAGCGAATACAATAAAAAGGATGAAAAGTTTCTAATAAAAATTCACTTTCTTTACACTCTTAAAATGAACAAAACAGAAAATCTAAGGCGCATTTTTATTCATTTTTTTCAGAAAATTTCTCTTGTTTACAGAGAGATTGGTACAAAAATGTTGCAAAATTAATTGCTGTAAACCATTGAAATTACCATTAAATCCACCATGAGTATGTATTGAGTCAACAGATTAAGCAGCATTAACAAAATGTAAGTATGAGTTATATTAATTTCTAGATCTTTTGTAGTCTTAACTGGATCTTTAACAACTTTTACACTTAGTTTTTAATAGAAAGAAGCCTCATGAAATTAGATTAACCGATAAAATTAGCATTTAAAATTTTTCGAACATAAAAAATGGGATTTTCATCACCCGCATTTATAGAGAAAAAAGTCAAATTCGTTGTAGCGTGGCTTGAATAGGAGCGACTTCAAACTTTTTGCAACAAAAAAAAAAGGTTCATTGTGATGTGTCACTTCAACATGAAGCCTTTTTTGTTGAACTTTCAAAGATGCCATTATTATTTGGTGATAACGAAATCCAATTTTGATCAATCTTTTAAAAGATTATGTACCATCTATAATCAAAAATCTTTAACATTCCTCAAAGATGATAGAAATCAAATTTACGGCTTATTAAAATTTTCACAAAAGGGTAGCATCCAGATCTTGTTGTGGATACTTTTATGTTGTAAGAAGATTATTAGATTTTGAACTCTGCAGTTGATGTAAATAATGTTTATGCTGTAAAGTTTCAGAATGAAATGACAATGGAAAACATGTTTTAGAGGATTTTGATGATAAAATCTGATGAAAATGATGAAATTCAGGGCTAGTTACGTTTGATTTAAGTAAAAACTTAACCCTAAATTTATAGATAATTAACTTCCATAAAAAATGAGTGATTTTTCACTTTAAGTGACGATACTTTACGATATGAATAAGCAAAAGTCTAAAAATCAAACTTAGATTCACATTGTGAAGGAACTTTAATTAGTTTACAAACTTTATCTTTTACTGATTAAAGTCTCGTAGTTTGCCTGCAATTTGTCTTTTTAAAGAAGAAAAAGTTTTTATCAAAGAGCCAAAAAAAGCTGGTTTAAACGAGAGAATTCGGTGCATTTTTGTTTTATTTTTGAGCTATTCTAAGATAGCTAATGTTTTTTACTGCATGTTGATTTAATTTTCTTCCTATATTACTTTATAATATCGTAAAGGCATGAATATGATGAAAAGAAGTAATAACATCACTTTATAAAAGAAGAAACCAGAAGACAAAAGAAACATAAATTTTATATATATCATCACGCACCAAAAGCATTTTGCTATTATAGGGTTGTATTTATCATGCTACGGACATTTCAGTGTCGAATTTTTTCGACATGTTTAAATTTAGTCGACCTAGCGTTTGTATATTTTAAAACCGTTAAAAAATTGTCAATTTTAAGATTTTAAGCATTAATATTTAACTTCCTGTATTTTTCTGGGATGATTTTAGCTAAACTTAGCTAAAAACGAAGCTGAGAATAAGAATCGTATGCTCAAGACTTGTTTTTGCCGGTGTTTGCAAGAAATATTCATGAAAATTTAACGGTTTTTTGAAATTCAAAGCAAAAAATAACGGACTTTTCGACGTGTCCGTAGCATGGTATTTATGATTAAAAAAACTAAAATATTGAGCTTATGTTATGAAAGTTAATTATTATAAAAATGTTGGGAAATAATATGTATTAAACACGAAACTAAATAAACCATATTTATAATATAAATCATAAACGAAAAACATTGCGAGCAAGAATACCTTAAAGCTATGTGATATGATTTCATTATATTTTATTTGTCTCCTTCTGATAGATAAATTAGGATCCAATTCATCCACGTGTGCCAAACTTTTTCCATGCTTTACAATATGTTAACGCTGTCAAAGGTGCTAAAAAGTTTAAATTTTGTGCTCTTGTGAAACTTTAATAATTATTGCAAAGGTTGCAGTAATATTCTATTTATATTTTAAGTTTCAAATGGTTAAGATTTGGAGCTGAAAAATTCATATTTTGTAAAGCTTTAATAATTATCGCAAAGGTTGCAGTAATATTCAATTCGGATTCTAAGCATCAAATGATTAAGGTTTTGGAGCTGAAAAGTTCAAATTTTGTGATTTAAGGAAGCTTTACTAATTATTACAAAGGTTGCAGAAATATTCAATACGGATTCTAAGCATCAAATGATTAAGGTTTTGGAGCTGAAAAGTTCAAATTTCTGATCTAAGGAAACTTTAATAATTATTGCAAAGGTTGCAAAAATATTCAATTCGGATTCTAAGCATCAAATGATTAAGGTTTTGGAGCTGAAAAGTTCAAATTTTGTGATTTAAGGAAGCTTTACTAATTATTGCAAAGGTTGCAGAAATATTCAATACGGATTCTAAGCATCAAATGATTAAGGTTTTGGAGCTGAAAAGTTCAAATTTCTGATCTAAGGAAACTTTAATAATTATTGCAAAGGTTGCAAAAATATTCAATACGGATTCTAAGCATCAAATGATTAAGGTTTTGGAGCTGAAAAGGTCAAATTTTGTGATTTAAGGAAGCTTTAATAAGGTTTTAAAGCTGAAAAGTTCAAATTTTGTGATCTAATGAAACTATAATAATTATAGCAAAGGTTGCAGTAATATTCAGTTCGGATTCTTAGCTTCAAATGATTAAAATTTTGAAGCTGAAAAGTTCAAATTTTGTGATTTAGGGAAGCTTTACTAATTATTACAAAGGTTGCAGAAATATTCAATACGGATTCTAAGCATCAAATGATTAAGGTTTTGGAGCTGAAAAGTTCAAATTTCTGATCTATGGACACTTTAATAATTATTGCAAAGGTTGCAAAAATATTCAATTCGGATTCTAAGCATCAAATGATTAAGGTTTTGGAGCTGAAAAGTTCAAATTTTGTGATTTAAGGAAGCTTTACTAATTATTACAAAGGTTGCAGAAATATTCAATACGGATTCTAAGCATCAAATGATTAAGGTTTTGGAGCTGAAAAGTTCAAATTTCTGATCTAAGGAAACTTTAATAATTATTGCAAAGGTTGCAAAAATATTCAATACGGATTCTAAGCATCAAATGATTAAGGTTTTGGAGCTTAAAAGTTCAAATTTTGTGATTTAAGGAAGCTTTAATAAGGTTTTAAAGCTGAAAAGTTCAAATTTTGTGATCTAATGAAACTATAATAATTATAGCAAAGGTTGCAGTAATATTCAGTTCGGATTCTTAGCTTCAAATTTTGTGATTTAGGGAAGCTTTAATAAGGTTTTGGAGCTGAAAAGTTCAAATTTTGTGATCTAATGGAGCTTTAATAATTATTGCAAAGGTTGCAGAAATATTCAATATATTTTCTAAGCATCAAATGATTAAGGTTTTGGAGCTGAAAAGTTCAAATTTTGTGATCTAATGGAGCTTTAATAATTATTGCAAAGGTTGCAGTAATATTCAATACGGATTATAAGCATCAAATGATTAAGGTTTTGGAGCTGAAAAGTTCAAATTTTTTTGAATTAAGGAAGCTTTAATAATTATTGCAAAGGTTGCAGAAATATTCAATACGGATTCTAAGCATCAAATGATTAAGGTTTTGGAGCTGAAAAGTTCAAATTTTTTTGATCTAAGGAAGCTTTAATAATTATTGCAAAGGTTGCAGAAATATTCAATACGGATTCTAAGCATCAAATGATTAAGGTTTTGGAGCTGAAAAGTTCAAATTTTTTTGATATAAGGAAGCTTTAATAATTAATACAAAGGTTGCAGAAATATTCAATATGGATTATAAGCTTCAAATCGTTAAGTTTTGGAGCTGAAAAGTTCAAATTTTGTGATTTAAGGAAGCTTTAATAATTATTGCAAAGGTTGCAGTAATATTCAGTTCGGATTCTTAGCTTCAAATGATTAAGTTTTTGGAGCTGAAAAGTTCAAATTTTGTGATTTAAGGAAGCTTTAATAATTATTGCAAAGGTTGCAGTAATATTCAGTTCGGATTCTTAGCTTCAAATGATTAAAATTTTGAAGCTAAAAAGTTCAAATTTTGTGATTTAAGGAAGCTTTAATAAGGTTTTGGAGCTGAAAAGTTCAAATTTTGTGATCTAATAGAGCTTCAATAATTATTGCAAAGGTTGCAGTAATATTCAATTCAGATTATAAGCTTCAAATCGTTAAGTTTTGGAGCTGAATAGTTCAAATTTTGTGATTTAAGGTACCCGAACATACAATGAGCATGCTCAGAGCACATTATTTGTGAGCCTATTAGCCTTTGTGAGAATGTGCTCATTTTCATACATTTCAGTGATGCGCTTACGGTACCTTCTTGAGCATGCTCAGTGAGCACATTCCTATGTGACATGTAATAAGATCATTGAGTAAACTCATGAGCATATTCAAATGAGAAGGTAACATGTCACATGCAACATTTTTCTCATGTAACATTTTTATTGAATATACTCATGTACATTCTCAGAGAGCATATACTCATAAATATTCTCAAAGAGCTTATACTCATGAAGATACTCAAAAGATATATGCTCAGTGAGTATATTTATGAGTATATGCTCATCTGAGCACACTCATGAGTGCACTCAAGTGAAGTTGCAAAATTCAAAAAATTAATTAAGCTAAATTTGAATATTATAGGTTAGCTGAAATCAAGTACTGTTCCGTTTATTTCTTTGAATTTCTGTGAATAATTTTGAAAGAGTTAGAAATTATTATTAATATTTTATCTCAAATACTTAGACGGAAACATATAAATCTGGTCACCCATCTTTGCTGAAATATCTTCTGCGTTGCTTAACTTCTGTCATCTCACACTTTTCCTTGGAGCTATTGTCTGTAAATATATAATAATTTATATATGGCATAACACATACTTAAATTATTATATTTTTACAGGCGAACTAAGTTCTTTGAAGTTTGAATCTTATTGAGCGCCAATTTTAACGTTTTCGATTTAGCTGACATTTTTTAAAAACGTCAGCTTCCTTAAAAA